AATCGGGGAGGAGGTCACGGGTTCCAGGCTGGCTTCATCCCTCCAAAGCCACGTGATCTGGCCAAGTCTCTTGACTTTCAGCCTCGTGTCTTGGTCTGGGAAGTGGAGACAAACAGACCTCATAGTCACAAACGGGTGGCCTTCTCTGCAGGTGCTGGGAGCCAGCAGCTGAAGCCGGCGCTAGAGAGGCAAAGTAGGTCTGCAGGCTGAGGAGTGCTTCCCAGTGGGTGGACAGGGCACAGGCTTGGTGCAGCAGCTCCTGTTTCCATGGGGAGGTGTGGGTGTGCAGGGGATGGCATGAGGCCACTGTCCAGCCTGCGTGGGAGGAGACAGGACACAAACATGACTTTTCTTCCTGGCAGTTGCACTTGGGGCTATGCCTCATCGGCACGGTTAGGATGAGGGTGAGGAGCCCTGTGGATTGAGTTCTGGGGCCCACTGGGAGCTCGACTTTGTCCAAGTTGCCCACTGAGGCTGGCCATGAGTCATCTGAGGGGAGCTCCTCCCATCCTGGTGGGGGCCACGTATCTCAATACCCAGCCTCCCTGCTAGCTTTTAGACAATATTTTAAATTATAAAACTCATAATCAATCCCTTTTCACATGGGCAATAATGTCAAATGTGCTATGCAGCCAGGTTACCATTCTAGACAGACTTGAGTGACTTTTAATATAAACTGTTACAATGCACACTGATTGTATATAAAACCTTATATATGACAAATTTAAGAAAAAGGATATGTGGGCTCCTGCAGTTTTCTGCTGCATTCTTACTCCTTCAAGCACTTAATTTTTTGTTTTTGTTTTCATTTCTAGTAACATTTGACAGAAAAAAGATATTTTGGTAAGCAACTGAATATTGGCAATGTAGTACTACGACTAAAACTACTTTTTTTTAACTGAAACAACTTTATTTTTTTCCCCCATTAAGTTTATTGGTACATTTTAGGTATAAAATACAGTTACATACATCATTGGGATCTTGTACCATTATATGAGTATCTTGGTTCTTATTTTTTTCCCCTTCCCCTGCCCTCCCTTC